TTGACGGGAAGCAGGAAAAAAAATCTATAGGAAAAGACCCACAAATTTTCTTACTATTCTGCCATGGGCAGAAAATACCATGTCAGGAGGCAAACTTGAAAACTCACATTAAGCAAAGGGAGAACAATTACTAAAGTGTATCAATGTAATCGCACCTGTATCTTATCAAAGTACCCAAAGATTAAACCATATCACTCTTAAAAGTATTAAAAACATGCAAAATAGAGCCAGTAGTATAAGGTAGCCCCTTCCAACTGACTGCATTTTATTTGTGAAGTGCATAAAATGTTTCCACACTCGGAAATCATTTTCAGATATGCAACAATTTCCTGGAATGGTTAGCAGTTCCTTTAAATAGGTAATCACCAGCCCTTGAACTGTGTGACATAAAAATGTGCATATACAAGGACTATTTTCAAAGGGTAGAATACAAAAAGGTCTGCTTATGCCCCACACATTATCAAACAATTGCTTTTTCCTAATACATGTTCTGCTGGAGAAAGGCACACAATTCTAGTCCATTCCATTAGATATTCCAGATGACTCACTCCAGTCTCAAAACTTCTGAAATGAATCCGACATTTATGGGCAATTACACATGTAAATATATAGTATTTATATATATATATATAATTAACTTTAGTTACCATGTGTTGAGCATTCTGATTAGAACCAGCATCTTCCTTTTGATGCATGCAGTCACTTCCTCTGTTTTTAATATGAAGATAGCAAAAATCTCCTGAAGTTTCCAGGAAAAATACATCCACATGAACAGAAAAAAAAAAACACATCAATTGGTTTTGTCATTAAATGATTTTTCTTTGTGCTCCCACATCTATATCTACCTTTTATAATTGCATGCTTTCCCCAACCTTTATTACTCCTACATGAATATGTATGCGTGTCTTTCATGGGGATACTGTCCCAGCTAAGGTTCCAGACATTCATCATGGCTGTTAAGAAATTTCCATTGGACTAAACTCAGTCCTTGTATTGGTCTGCAGAGGCTGCCATAAGAAAGCAACACTGACTGGTGGCTTAAACAACAGACATTTATTTTCCCCTAGTTTTGGAGGCTGGAAGTCCGAGATCAAGATGTCTGCAGGGTTGGTTCCTTCCGACGGCAAGTTCTGTTCAGGCCTCTTGTCTTGTAGAAGGCCATGTTTTCTCTGTTGATGCCTCACCTTTCTGTCGGTAGCTTTGTTCAAATCTTCCCATGCTTATAAAGATACCAGGCATATTGGATTAGAGCTCACTCTAATGGCCTCACCAGAGACCCTAACTCCAAACACTGTCTGTCACATTCTGAGGTGCTGGGGTTAGCATTTCAGCTCATGATTTCCAGGCTAGGTTCTTGTTACAGGGGACTAGCGGGTAATCTCTGAATAGGACAAGAAACATTTGACACCACTAAGGAATTATTTTTCCTTCCTGGTAAAGCACAAAGCTAGTAGATTATCTCTTGCTCTTAAACATGGTTGGTATCGTCTTTATGCACTTCTTAAAACACAATTGCAAATGAATAAAATCTATACATTGCTTTTTAAAACCCCTCTGTTTAGGAATCAACTTGATTCTGGTTTTGGTTTGTACAAGAGATGCTTTCTGCTTTATATTTCCAAAAGCACAAGAGAAAGTAATAATGGGATTTTACCTTGGATCCCCAGCATTTTCCTCCTGAAAAGGAATATAATTCAAATAAACTTTGTCACGTAACCACACAAATAGAGTTAAAGGAAGTTGCAATTGGATGCCCTTATCAATCATCAGTCATGAGATGGGATCCTGGCAACAAAGTTTATTTACTACTGTTACTAGTAATAATATCATATCTTTTGTTATTTTTGGTATTCCTTCCATCATCATTTTTTTCTGATAGGTGAATCTGTTTTTTTGTTTTGTTTTGTTTTGTTTTTTTCCAGTTTCATTGAGGCATAATTGACAAGTACAAGTGTAAGGAATTTCACATGTATGACGTGATGAGTTGATCTACATGAACCTTGTGACTGGATCGACTCAGGGAGTTAATGAACATATCCATCCCCTTACACATTTACCTTATTGTTTTTGGTGATGGCACTTACATTCTACTCTTTTAGCCAATTTTAATTATACAGTGCAGTGTATGAAGTATTGGCACCGTGTTATATGTTAGATCCTCAGTCCTTATTCTTAATTTTATAAGCAAAAGTTTGTACCCTTTTACCAACCCCTCCCTTTTTCTCTCAGCCCCTGGTTTTGGTAACCACTCTTCTCCTATGAATTTGATTTTGTAAATTTTTTTGAGATTACACATATAAGTTTCAGTGACAATTGTATAACTGTGTTGTGTGAAAACTATAAATCCCTGGGTAAGTGTAAATATAGCAAGTTTCCAAATGATTTTTCCAGTTGTCTTCTATCTTTAGACTTTGCCTATGATGTTTACTGAGATGTGAAGAATTTTTATTTTTGAATTCTGTAACTATACTAGTCAGCCTTTAAAAAAATATATTTTATTTGACTTTTTCCATCACCATTATCCCCTCTATGCCATCTTCTACCCCCTCCCCTAGATAACCACACTGTTGTCTATGTCCATGAGTCCTCTCTCTTTTTTTCTCTTTTGTCCAATCCCTCCACCACCACTCCCAACTACTCCTTCCCACCACCACCAGAGCTGTCTACGTGTTTTCTATCTATGAGTCTGTCTCTATTTTGCTTAGTAGTTCAATTTGTTCATTACATTTCAGATATGAGTGAAAACATATGGTACTTGTCTTTCTCTGACTGGCTTATTTTACTTAGAACAATGTTCTCCAGGTCCATCCTTGCTCTTGTAAAGGCTAACATTTTCTTTATCTTTACAGGACAGTAGTATTCCATTGTGTAAATGTACAATGGTTTTTCTGTGTTTTTTATTTTTTATTTTTATTATCCATTCATCTACTGATTGACACTTGGGCTTGCTTCCAAATATTGGTTGTTGTAAATAATGTTACAATGAACATGGGGTACTTATATTCCGCTAAAAGCAATGAGAAAGAGAAGGGTAAGTAATCTACCTTTTCCCCCTCATTGTTATTGGTATGGTGGTATTGTGATGTGCATTGACTTCCATGTAGAGAAAATGGCTTTACTGAACATGCATGATATTGTAATATTTAAAACATAAAACCAAGTTGAAAACAATATAAATATGATGTATAAGTGAGTACAGTTTGAAAAAAAATGCAACCCCCCCAAAAAAAAAAAAAAAATTACTGACTTTCTAAGGTTACTATGGTATGGCCAAAACCACATGTGAGTGAACCGTCCTTGAAAGGCTGAGGAGAAATAAAGGAAGTGGAAATAACAACTATATCTTCAAGGTCCTGTGAATTAGCTAGCGGCAGAGCATGTGAAAACCATAAATCACTCTGCAAATGCAAAGTGTTGTAACTCACAGTGACAGATGAAGGTGATATCTCGAGATAGAGTCTACTCATGGTTCTACTTGTGCTGATAATGCATTTCCTCCAAATGGGGGTTGCCCTTGTTCTGTGGTGTGTTTTTTGCATCCATCAAATCTATCACACAATGGAGTACAGTGAGAGGCCCTATGCACACGAGCAAAGGAGTATTGGCTGTGAATCTTTTATCTGAATTTTACTTGGAGGGAGAAGCTGTTGTATGACTTCGTAGTCATGTCATAGCTGTACTCAGTCTGATGGTGCTCTTTCGTTTCCAGCTTTAGTCTAGAATGAGTTTTGGTCATCTTTGGAAACAAGATCCACTTTCAGAAGATGAGAATGCCCCAATTCCACAAATGCAAAATTGTGGAGAGTTTGGAAAATAAATAATTTCTAATACTTGTGTTACATAAGTGACTTTCCCCATGATGATGGCAGCCTAGTTTGAATTGGACACCTATTTTTATACAAAACTTTACTTCTTTTATTTATTAAACACTCACTGAGCTTTCTGTGAGTACAAGTCAACCAAGCATACTGAATGCAAATATTTAATAATTCAGAGTTGCAACCTTGGTGCAGTTTATTCCAGTGTGCTTGTGAAAATTTGTGTGTGTATGTTCAAAAACCTCTTGCTATGTTATAGTCAGGATTCTGGACAGTAAAGCATACACAGACAGATCTGAGACTTATTGGCCCTGTTGATTTTCTAAGCCTTAATTTGAAATCTGTAAAATAAGTTATTTACTCACACATTGGTTTTGAGATGTACATGAGGGATAAAATTAAATTCTTCACCCCAATGACAGATACATAGTAAGCACTCAATCAATAATCATATGAGATTTTGAAAGATTTTTTTTGTCAGTATGTTTTTTAACTGCTCCTATTTTTGTGTTTATTTTCCTTAGTTTGAAGGAGCAACAAGATACTTATTTTCATATACGGATGTCATCTCAGACAGGCTTAGAGATGCATCCCATTTGTCCCATACATGTTTAATGAGCAACCACTTCATGCAAGAAAACTTGATGTGTGTTATAATATTGAAACACCTCAAGAAACCTGAGAAGCTGAAACCAGTTTTGCTCAGTGGATAGAGCACTGACTGAAAGGTCCCAGGTTCAATTCAGGACAAGGACAGGTACCTTGGTTGTGGGCACATCCCCAGTGGGGAGTGTGCAGGAAGCAGCTGATCGATGTTTCTCTCTCATCAATGTTTCTAACTCTCTATCCCTCTCTCTTCCTCTCTGTAAAAAAAATAAAAAAAAAAATCAATAAAATATATTTTAAAAAAAGAAAGAAAGAAAAAGGAAGGAAGGAAGGAAGGAAGGAAGGAAGGAAGGAAGGAAGGAAGGAAGGAAGGAGGAAGGAAGGAAGGAAGGAAGGAAGGAAGGAAGGAAAAAAGAAAGAAAGAAAGAAAGAAAGAAAGAAAGAAAGAAGAAAGAAGAAAGAAAAGAAAGAAAGAAAGAAAGAAAGAAAGAAAGAGAAAGAGAGAAAGAGAGAAAGAGAGAAAGAGAGAGAGAAAGGAAGAGAGAAAGAGAGAAAGGAAGAAAGAAACAGGAGAAGTAGGTATAGGTGGCTTCGTTTCCCAAGGGGTAAAGCTGAGCCTCAGAGGAACTGATGGGCTCACCCTCCTCCACCAGAGCTGAGACATGAACAGGTGCCTGTAACTTGGAAGTCCCTGCTCTACGGTACAACACACTGTCTCCCCTGGAATGGGGGCCAGAGGGGAGGGTTGGAGCGGCTGCGGCCCCTGTCGCCCACGTCACTGTGCGCTGGCTGTTGGGCCGTTGCGCCCCCGCGGCCGGGGGACCACGCGCCCCCGCGGCTCGGCGGTGACCACAGCTCGGTGGAGACACAGCGGCGATGGCTGTGCTGTGGCGGAAGGCATATGACTACGTGAGGACCAAGGAGTTCCGGGACTACGTGACCAGCACACACTTCTGGGGTCCCCTGTTCAACTGGGGGCTGCCGCTGGCCGCCATCAAGGACATGCGGGCGACCCCGGAGATCATCAGTGGCCGCATGACCACGGCGCTCATCCTCTACTCCATGGCCTTCATGCGCTTCGCCTACCGCGTGCAGCCGCGCAACCTGCTGCTCCTGGCCTGCCACAGCACCAACGTGATGGCGCAGAGCGTGCAGGGCAGCCGCCTGGTCCTCTTCCGCTACGGCCTCCTGCCTGGGGCCCCGGGCACCGCCTCCGCCGCCCCCGCCGCCCCCGCCCACAGCCCAGGCAAAGCCACCGACACCACTGAGTGCCAGGGCAAGAGCGAGTGCATCCCCGACATCCCTGACCCCGACCCCAGCAGCTGCTTCTAGGCGCCCGCTGCCCCCCCCCGCACCTGCAGGCCCCAGAGGGGGCTCATAGAGGCTGAGAAGGCCCTACCGAAGCTTTGCAGCTTGCCAGCTCTACACTGTTATTTTTCCGGAAGACGAATAAAAGTTCGGGTTTGACTCTAAGATAGTGCAAATCTCATTTAAACATGCAGGCTGGTTAATTAAAACAAAACAAAACAAAAAAGCAAAGTAGGAGAGGGAGAGCGAGGGCGGGGAGGAAGGAGAGGGGGAGAGAGAGAGAGAGAGAGAGAGAGAGAGAGAGAGAGAGAGAGAGAGAGAGAGAGAGAGAGAGAGAGAGAGAGAGAAGGATTTGAATATGAATTGTGTAATTGTGGTGGTGGATTTTTTTTTTTAAGTGTGCCACTGGAACTGTAGTTCCAAGATGGCAAGAACATTTAGGGGTACTCTGTGGTCTGTAATAACTCCTCAGTAAACATTGGTTGGGTAAATACCTGGGATTTAAGAAGCTACATGTGATCCCCAACTCTCTGGGCAGTTGATGGAAACACCTGCACCTTGTGGAATTAAGAGGCGGCAGAGAGCAGATTACGAATTAGACCTGGGGACCTGCTGGTTGGAGGGCACTGAGCAGGGGGGAGAATGAGGAGGACTTTGCATGCATGCTCTAGGGAAGGCAAGGAGCTAGCAAGGTAGACCAGGTGGCCTGAACCACCTCTCCACGTGGCCAGAGAAAATGACCTGCAGCCCGGTTTCACGGGGCCTGAACAGTGGGTTGACATTATCCTGTAGACTCTACTCGAACTCAATCAGAGAAGAGGCCAAAATCTAAAATCCAGCCTAAATCGTGGGCCGAATGGTTTACTGAACAGTCATAAAATGTCATTGTGATGGAAACGCAGCGGAGTGCAGTGATGACAGCGCGGTGCGGGCCACATTGCAAGGCCTGGCGGGACGGATTTGGCCCGCGGGCCTTGTGTTTGACACATGTGGTGTAGAGGATGGAGGGTGGGACTAAGAACAGAGAGAGGAATTTACTGGTCATTCAGAGCTTCCTTCTTTGACCAGCTGTGCTTCGATGTTGTGCGTCCACATCAGCCAGGAACGCTGGCTTTGCATTCTATCAGTACATATGCTCAGTGCCAGCTAGAAATACAGAGACATGGCACTATGGAAATGTCTTCAAAGAGACAGGGCAAGGCAGAGGTTTCCTTACGCCCTGCAGTGACATCTTCTGTCCAAGGGGAAGGATTCCTTGTCATGATTGATGATGCAGTGCTTCTGAGGAAGGACTGACTGAGGGATCAGACCGCCAGGGACAATGCCTGGCCCAGGGGGCTGTGCTGGGCCCCGGGGGCTGTTTTCACATTCACAGAGGGGCTGCTCTCCTGGCTTGCAGGGATGTTGCGGCAGTTTCTGCAGGAGTGCTGCAGGGCTCCAGGGCTCGCACTTCTGGGCAGGAAAATCGGGAGAGGAAGTGCTATCTGTGAAAAGGCAGGAGGCTGCACTGACTATGCGGAACACAAGGAGCGAAACCTTGAACACTGATTCCTTTTGATCTGTTTGCAGGATTGTGTCTTAGGGGCGTTGGCTGCCACTTAGCTGGGATATTCTGGGCTACCTGGTGGTTACAAAATAGGCTGTTACATTTATCTTCGTTATTTACATGTCTCTTCTAGCTTAATAAAAATAAAGTCCCCCTCTACCGTGTGTGTGTTTTGTCCAAGTCAGACTCTCTCACTCCTGCCTTTCACAGTTGAGTTTAAGAAAATGGGACATTTGTTCACTGGATAATGCACCCTTGCAAAACAGGCCAGTCACCAGGCATGTGGAGCTTCAGTGGAAATAGTCTCCCCAGATATCTCCCTCCCTTCCTCCCTCCTTCACCTCCCCCTCCTCCTTCTCCTTCTCCTTCTCCCGGCTTCCCTTCCTCTTTCTCCTCCTCCTCCTTCTTCCTCTCCCTCTCTCTCTCCCCTCAGAATCCAAAAGGACAATTTTTGTGCTTATCTTAGTTAGCCTCCTTATAGCATTGTCCAATCTTTCTTTTTTTCTCACTTCTTTGATGTCAGGTGTCCCACACCCATGGCTACCAGTTCCCAGTCCTCACAGGGGCTTCTTTTCTGCTCACCCTCAAATATCCGTGTGTTTTTGTTCCCTCTCTTATTCACTCTGGGTAGTTACCCAAGTTAATCCCATTTCTTCTGGTTGCTGTCATCGTCCAAATCCCTACTTAGACTTTTATCTTCTAAACCCCCACAAAGGAACACAATATGTCCAAATTTTAGCTCACTGTTTTCTTTCACTTTAGCTGCTATTCTTGTTTCCTGACTCATGCTAATATTTTCCCAGTTATACTACACAGACCTGAGACTTTTTTTTTCTTCCCCCATTCAGTTCCTTTATCCGCACACCCATTCATTCCCTCTGTATCCTAAAAGGAGCTTAGGGAGGGGCAACTCCTTTCCAAGGCATTTTTTACTCTAAAGCTAGAAGTATCCCCCTTTTTATTATTATCATGCAGCTTTAAACTCTTTGATGTCTTCGCCCTGCTTCAGGATAAATCCCAGCTCCTAATTCCTTTCAGAGCCCGTTCTCTCACTTCGGATCTCACGTTCTGCCTTCTGGCTGCAGTGAACTTACAGTGACCTCACTGCATGTTACTGTGCACAGAGCTGCTGGCCTTCACCAAGCCTTCGGTGGGTTCTGGTCAGGAGCCTATGGTAGACAGCTGATGGCCTCCTTCCTGAACTCTTGCCACTGTCCTCTAAGGCCACGAGGTTGGGGACTGTACCTGGCTCTCGGTTGTGGACCCTGATGGACCTAAGTTATTGTGGTCCAGAAAGTGTTTCATTGGTCTATCATGATATAAGTTTATTTGTGGCAACAGAATGTTTTAAAGATGAAATAGAAAACAGAATGCATCACACGTTTCTTGAAGCCTTTGTGGAAACTCACTTATAAGCAATGTTAATCTCATCCTTTTTTCCAGCAATGTTTTCTCTGCTTCCTTTAGACATTGTTTCTGTTAAAAGGCCACCCATACCGGTTGTAGCATTATAAGCCAGAAGATGAACTGAGGGCAGGAATGGGAGAATCACAGAAAAGGGAAGACAATTGTAGGATTAAAACCCGTGATGCTTGCCATTCCTCTGAATAATGTCCTTGTATTGTAAGCAATAACAACTTAAGTCTATTGTATGAATGTACCATTATGTGTGCGTGTGTGTGTCTGTATTCCTATCTATGTAGTTTTTAATTTAACAGTGCATCATCACTATTAAAAATATGGTATTGAACATATTTTTAATATTGATTTTTGCCTGTAAGTCTATGTTAAAGCAGACATGTTTAAATTTTTTATTTTTGTGTATAAAATGACACGAGTGCATAGACATGAAAATGTAATTAATGGGTTGTACAACTAGGCTTTAAAGGAAGGTCAAAGGAAGCTTTACAAGTAATTAGATATGTGAAACACTGCAGATGAAGAAAATGCTTGAATAATCAGTTTTGTCTTTAAAATGTCTCCTTTAAAATATGAGGGAAATACAGTTAGAAAAAAAAAAATTAGGACATAAAGTCTTAAAGCAAAGAAAGAAACAAAACCTGTGTCAACCAACTTATCATTACTATGAGGGCGCACCACAAACCCTTCAACTGCATCATATAAGTATGCAAGAGCTGTGATATATGGGAGTTTTATTGCAATATACGGTTATATGGTGGGGTAATCTCTTCTGTGGGTTTATCATCAGAAAGCAATTCTCTGCACACATCCTTGATGTTTTTGCACTGGCTTCCAACCCTGCTGGGAGCTTTTCCTCTCTTCAAGACTGCCACCAACTTATTAGCTGTGGCTGCAGGCCACACACTGAATGAAGTGGTTCTCTGTCAGGGGTTAAGTGGTCAAAGTTTTAGAGACAAAGAGGGTTGCAGAACTTCCTTTATGTAAATTACTGTACACTTATAAGTTTTTTGTCTAAAGTAAAAAAGAGACTCATGAAAATTGGGTATTTCATAAAGGATATAAAGATTTATGTATGAAAAATAGCATTCAGTTTATGTAAATAGAGCAATAATATAAAGGAGAAGGATAATAAGATTATTTTTAAACCTTGGGAATGTTCATTAGGATTTGGAATATTAAGTATTTCATTTATGCATAATATTTCCATATATTTTCTTATGCTTTTTCACAAAGGTAATATATACATTTTAAACCAGGGCATTTATTTCTGTGATATAGCACAATACACAATGAATTTTTTAGTAGTTAAGAAAAAAAGAGAGACTGCATTGAAAATATTTTTAGGGGTTTCTCTGGAAACCAAAGCATGTTAGAAAGCCCCAAATATTTACAAGGAGATCTTTTCAGTCTATATTTAAACTTCTAGTAAATATTCATTTCATGTGAATTCAGATAGTATTTTCCTCCTTTCTAACTGCCCAGGGAAGAGCACCCTCACTGAAAAGCTAGCAGGTAGCCACATGGTGAAGGCAGTTCTCAAAGTGGTGACCATTCAAACTTCCCAAACCAGACATTTTCCCTAATAAATCAGATTTTCTGACCTGCGGTATTACTCCTTTAAAGTTTTGGCAATAGAAACAGATCTTGCTCTGAAATACAGAAAACTCTTCCAATGGTTGGTTGCCTTAAGGAGAGCAACCCAGTTAAAAGTCAAATTAACTCAGCCTGTGTGGCTCAGTAGTTGAGCATGGACCCAGAAACCAAGAGGTCACGTATTGGATTCCTAGTCAGGGCATATGCCAGGGTTTGGGGCTCAGTCCCCAGTAGGGAGTGTGCAGGAGGGAGCCAATTGATGATGTTTCTCTTTCATCCATATTTCTATCTCTTTATTCCTCTCCCTCTCTCTCTAAAAATCAATAAAGGAAAAAAAATTAAAGAAGTAAAATTATATATGTACACAGATATACATATACACACACATATGCATACACACATATGTATACACATATATTCAATTTATATAATATTATTCAGTATGACATTAGTTAAACTTACA